TGCAATATACACATACATATAGTCAGTACACACAGTATTAGTATTAGACATACTTACATTTAGCACTACACATTATACACAGTATGTACATACAGTTAGCAATACACATTATACACAGTATGTACACATTCTACATTATGTAGACATATATACACATAAAATATGCGAAGGTGCAACAGATTATACATGAACTGGATACGCAAAATGTCATGGATGTGCATTGGATGGTATCCAGTGGTAGCAGATAGATTATTGTATTAAATGCAGTGTGTATGTATAGTCCAGTATTGAACTTTGCTTGACTCAGTATTGAAGTTATGCTTAATTCTACAATGTTTAATCTCCTAAATATTCATGTCAATTTCTATTAAATGATTTTTCAAAATGGCAAAATGGGAAAAGTGACGTAAATACATCAAAAAGTGTAAATATAAAAAAAAAAAAAATTTGAATTAAAAAAAGAAAAATTAAGTAGGACCTGTTGGCTGACACTTTTCTCATGATCAATGTTTAAAACATCATTTATATATATCTATATATATATTTATTAGGGATGGGTCACGATTTTCGAATATTCGATTAGTTGATTTAATTATAGAATATTGAATAGGTTGTGCGATTATTGTCTTAAAAAATGTCCCCATGTTTTCATGTGGCGCTGCCAATAACGCACCTAAAAGCTGTCAAAGACAACAGAAGAACAAATTGTCTCATCCGCACACTGTAGACTTGCGTGGCATAAAAAAAAGACTTGTGCAGCATATAACGGTTACAGTAACTTGGAACGATGTCAAATAAGAGTTTTGTGCGGACCACAAACACTCCCGACTGGGTTAGAGGTGTGGCTGAATCCGTGTTCAGCAAGGCACGGAAATCAAATAACGCGTTCTACAGAGCCACTAAAGGGACATGGTTAGCCGCTTGCTAGCAGTAGCCTGTTACATTACAGTACATAACATTTCACTTACCACCAGGGTTTGAAATTAACTTTTTCACTCACCAGCCAATTTGGCTACTAAATTTTTAAGTTACCGGCCATTCATAATTTCTACTAGCCAAAAAAAGGGCCGGAGGTAAGCCAACAGCTTGAGGCTGTCCACACTGGATGCGACAAAGTGACCATTGCAAATCATTTGTACTTTGTCAAACAGTAGGCCTACGTCATAAATAGAACGAGGCATCAGTTTACTGTCGGGGATTTGTCGTGCTGTGCCACATCCAGTGTAGGCCGCATCACCGATTATAATGGGTTCTATAGTATTTTGTCGCATCTGGTGTAGACACGAGAGACACTGGTTTTTATCTTTAATCAGGCTCTTACTGAATTAACATTTTACTTAAATTAAAATTAATTAGAATGAAACATTTAAATATCAATAAGCTATTAAAGTTTGTTTACATTGCAGTTTGTTTACATGCATTTTACCTTGTGGTGGCTGTTTTCAGGCAGAACCTTTAGTGTTGTCATATCACACAACTGTATAACACAATTCTGTGTCATTTCTGAATGGATCGAGCGATTTGTGCTGTTTATCTCTTATAAATCGTGACAGAAGCGCAGTGGTGTGCGGGAGACTGATCCCGCTCTGCTCTAACGCGTGGCTGGCAGATGCACCGGGTAGTGCCGCTTCACACTTTTGGAGTACTTGCTTTTTGCAGTTTCCGTGGGCTGTAATTTAAAAACAGCGCCTAATATGAGGTCTTCCTCGCTTCGGCGATCGACCCACCGGGAATGTCCCGGTGCTCCCGATGGCCAGTAGCTACATCACTGGGTATGTTCAAGTAAGCTAGATGCCCAGATGCTGCGCAATTAGGCTTATTTAATATATCATGATGAGTCTCGAGTTCAGTATTTACACTAAATCTGCGCAGATTTGGCTTACATGAACTTCCTCAAGAAATTAATTGGTAAACACAATTTACGAAAGGTAACCCGCTAAATTGGCTAGTGATTTGACCCCTGAGCACCACTGACAAACATCTAATCTTGTAAAATGTGTGGTAAGTACTGCCGAGTGCTGCTCCGTACGTGTGATCGCGAATCTCGAAAGTGAAAGTAAAAAACAAGCGTGCGTTCATAAGCGATTTCAATGCCCCGCATTAATAACGGCTCCCTGATGCCTGCAGTTTATATACAGTATAATTACTAGAAATGCACCAATACCACTTTTGCATATGATCGTAGTTTTGCACAGCTTGTCAGTGAACAAAGGCACGCACGTGATGGAGATTTACCGCTGATTACAGAACGGGCTTTACTGACAAGATGCACATTAATTATCACATGCGATTTATCGTGCAGCCCTATCCTTAATCTATAATAACTCCATTTTGTTGTTCTGTTGTCGGTGTTTCTTTGTCTGAATATGGCACTTATCACATGCTGTGTGGTATCGAGGCATTTTAACGAGTATGAGTACAGGAGCTCAGTATCGGTATCGGTGCATCCCTAATAATTACCCAACGATATAATTGCGACAGACAGAAGATATTGAAGTATATTTTTCCTCCCATCTCGTATCTATTCCCTTTAGGGATTAAATATTTTTTGAAATGGAAATGTCCTGGCCTTATGAGCAGTTGATTTATGCTAATCGACGGACTGTTATGTTAATAAGTGCCGTCATTCGGTTATGTTTATTATATTAATATGTTTCAGCACGTTACAATCATTATATGGCTTGACAGACATTTAAGGTAGTCTAACTTCTGAATTAAACAGTTTATCATACAGATTGAAAGCGTGAATCCCGTCTCTCTCCCTTTCTGTCTGTTTATGGGTGTTTGTGCATTGCGGGGGAGGGGTGCAATTTTCGAATAATAATCGAATTATACTCAGCGATTTTCTAATATTATTTTTGCTTTGAATGCCCAAACAACTATTGGCCGATTCCGATACCGATATTGGTCAATTGCATAAAGCAGGGCTTAAAAACCGGGGGAAAAAAAACAATAATATTTTGATTGGCTCACTCTGAGCAAAATTGGTATTTGAACGTTTATGTTCCTAGTCTATTACCGTTTCGAAACCGGGTTGAGTAGAAAAAATACCGGTTAATAACGTTATTTTTAAAACTTTTTCTATGCCTATAATAATAACAATAATAAAGTACAGCGTTTTCTTTAATCAAAAAGAAAAAAAAACACTAGGGTCTTGATCTGGTAGCCTGTCTTGCGCTTAGTCATAGCCAATACAGCATCGTCTTTTCTAGATTTTGACCAAATGTATTAAACAAAAGAAAAAAACTGTCAACGCTTAAAATACATTAAAGTACATTTTCAAGATATTTAAAAATGTTTGCAGCATGGATAAAAAACACTACTCCTTTAAGCGTTTTGAGAGGAAAAAACAGCCTAAATTAGTAGGCTGTACGTTGCATTTTATTACATTCAGAAATAATGTAGGCTAAAATACCGTAAATAAAGCAAAATATTTACAAACATTACAAACACAATTAGGCTATTTTAGTTCCCTTCTCTCCACAACAAATCCTCTAAAGTTGTAATCCAAAACTAATTAATTTAAAAGCAAAATCTCTCTCATTCTGCACGAATCCAAATCTTTCCATATTCACGACATATCTGGATGCTAAAATATTATTTAGCCTATTCCTGTGTAAACTATAGGCTTTGTTCTTCACTCGTATTTTCAACGTAAAACATCATCCTTCACATAAAAGCACAGTGAGGCGGTGGTCACGCTGAACGGCACAGACTGTACTGACTATTTCAATTGAGCAGTGTAACTTTTTACGTTTCTTTAACTGTATTTTATTTTGATAATAAACAGGCTGCGATGTCAAGTTAGCAAAAATATGTGCGTGTGAGTCGCCGAGGCGATTCAAAGCATTAAAGCTTTTGCAAAACAAAGAAAACTGCTTTCCTCTGCTTTCTTGGTTTCCTTTCCGTGAACTTAAGAGCACGTTACAATGATCCAAACTCAGCACATTTTTTTTCTTTCGTTTTGTTAATCTGTTAATGATTTAAGTGACATATATTTTGTGTATAGGCCTATATTCCTTTTTATGTAGCCTATATAGCCTAAGTTTTTCTCCATTCACAGAAGCGCTGCAGGTGTGTGATGTAGAGACCTGCGCGGGACGGATTTTTCAGTCCCGCGGGTCCCGCGGTACTCCCGCGGGAGTGCAGGTCTCTAGTGTGATGTGAACTTGTGTGAATCCGTGTTCTACACTATCCTGCCATTTTTGCTGGTTTCAAACACCACAGAAAGCTGCATATTACCTGCCATCAATTTTCACTTAAATGTAGGCCTAATGCTTGGCGGTGTCGTGACATATCCTCGGGTAAACTAACGCCAGGGCATTGCCATTGCGACTTACCTCTGATGAATTTGCAGCTGAGCGCGGGCATTTCACTCATTGGATGTGTCAGCGTCACATTTGCATAGGCCGTACTATGCTGTCTGACACTATATTTTGTACAGATTTTATTTTGTTTTGGCAAGTATTTAATTATTTTGCCCAGAGAAAAATGTTGGATCATGCAACTCATTGTCTCCATGCAGTTAATTAATAAACCATCGGTATTGGCCCTTTTCATGCTATTTCCGATATGCCGATGGCTTTAAAATAATCAAAAATCGTCCAATAAATATCGGCGGCTGATACATCGGTGCATCCCTAGTCATAGTAAATGAGCCATAAAAATAAAAGGTGCATATATTTTGTCCGAAGGTAATGTTAAATTAAAAAAAAAAATTCTGACTATTATTTCATGTCTCAGACATGGTACTGCATCTAAGTTACATTGGCGTATCAGATTGTAACATCAGCTCATATGTTTTCCTCTCTAGATGATGATTGGCAGGAGGAGCATGCCCGCCTCGCAGAGCTTGATGAGCAGGTACGAGACGGAGTGCATGGAACGGGCGACGCCTCCTCCGTTGACCTCCCTCTCGCTGGCGGCAATGCCCACTCTTCGACCCTCCCTCAACCCTCCTCTTCTTCCCGACTTTACCCTGACATAGATGAACGGGGTGGCGGTGACCTGGCGGAGTCGCTGACTCGGCTCATCTTGGGCTCGGATCCTGCTATTGCTGGAGTGGGCACCGCCAGGTCGGACCGATCTCACCTTCCTCTAATGCTGTCCTGCCAGGCTCCTCAGCCCTCGGCATTAGCTGAACAGTCTTCTCTGCTGCTGAGCTACCAACAACAGCAGCAGCTCATGCGCAGAGGGCCAGCTCCTCTTCCACAGGTTTGTGTGATTGCCTCTCCATCATATTGAGCTATTATTGATATGATTAGTTTGTAAATCTGTTTGTGAACATGCAAATGCCATCATCAGGGTGTGGACTGCAGCAGGTACAAGCACTCGTCGGAAATGTAACGCCCCTTACCATAATCGCCAGCTTATGATCTTTCAAAATAAATGTAAAGACAGTAAATAATGACATTAGATTTACCATCAGTTCAAGCCAGAAAGGGGAACAGAGTCGCGTGACAGACACAGTGATGAAGCTGGTATGTGTTT